AAAAGGTTTTTCAAGACTCCATTATTATATCCGTCCAAAATCCAGACAGCACCATATCTGACATTTTCACTGATAAATTCAGGAAGAACGAGAAGTTCTTACGCTCATGATTTCAAGCATGTGATTCCCTTTCTGTAGATCTGCCACACTGCAGACCAATTTTATATTTAAACCATCAGCTGCTGGAGTGCTCGCAACGTTCAAAAACATTCTCAGAGAGACCTAGACGTTGCAAGTTCATACAAAGCAATCCTTAAACTATCCATGGATATTGGCGTTCCCTACGGGGCCGTTATCCCAGCATCTCAGCACGGCTCAGGCCACCGTGACAGGCACCGCAAGGGCCCTGCAGCGCTGAAGGGAGCGCCCAGCTTTCCCTCCTCGCTGCTGTGGCCCGCCATGGTTAGGGTATCACCCCATCCTCAGTCTCCTTCTCCCCCATTCTGGCTATTTTAAGAAAACTCTTGCCTGAGAGATGCCACCGAGCCTCCCTCAAGGTGGTCCATCGCTGGATTAGACCAGTCTCCTCTGGGAGCTCATTCCACAACCAAGAGTGTTTTATTTCCAGCTCTCGCGTAAAATATGCATGTGCAATACATGCTGCTGAGCACGCAATAGGTTAAACAAATTGATGATAAAGTATTCTACTTAGTTATTTTTCATTACCATAAGAAAACATCAATTACATTTCCTATTTTATGAGTGTACACAAGGGAATCCATTACAATAACAAAGAGGTTATGTGACTGCTTTTGCTGCTTCTTTCCTAGGCAAAAAGAACAGTTAGTTTTTAAAGACAATGAAACCAGCCCGGAGAAAAGGAACACACACCAGCGTATCTGCATAGACAGTTCCTATCCTGATTTATCCAGCCTGACTCCAACTAATTAAACATCTGCCTCAACAATTTCCTCTGCAGATTTATCTTCTCCAGTACGTAGCACTGACTGGTTGTTACGGGCTTTTCCCTAACTTGCAGCCATTCCCATCTACTTCTTCCAGTCGGTTACTGGGGCACATGGCACGAGATGATACAGTATTCCCGTTAGCGCCCTGCTGCTGCCTGTTGTGGGACAGGTCACCGCGCTCCAAAGCACCGCTCCAGTACAACCACGTCCTCTATGAAACGACCCAAGGGCCACGGTTCCCTCGGCTGTCACACATACAGGCTATTTTACCACCTGCATTTCCTGTTGTTTGACTCAAAAATTATTATTTAAAAATGGTCGGAGTTCATACCTCTAAGGCAAAAGCCTTGTGACACCAAGAAAGGAAAACTGCAAGGAATGTGAAATAGTTTGAACAGTTTGCAATAATTTTATCTAACATAATATCTAAACAGAGGTAGGCACAATCAGAATATTGCTTCCAATCCTTTCATGCCGCTAGGAAACAAAGGTTGTACCCAACTTCTATCTCCTTCTACTGACCTATATCCTCCTGCAACAAGTTGAAGTTCAATAGCATCAAAAGTCTTTATTCAGCTTTAGTCTTTTCAGCAAATGGGATTCTGAGATGAACACATTGATATTATTACTATTTTTAGAGGTGTAGTTCACACTACAGCCACGGGAACGCCGGTGCCTGTGCTGAAACAGAACGTGCGGAAACCTGGGCTCTGCGCGAGCCTTCGTCGAGGGAAACTTTCTGTGCCGCTGTCAGCCTTGCGCCCCGGGAGGTCGGCAAGGGCTGGTAGCCGCAAGGACGGTAACGGCACTTTTAAACCAAAGTCAAAGCCAGAGAAGCTTAGAAGGTCATCGGCTCACAGAGGTGACCGAGGCTTATAGATTTTCAGGAACTTGCAACTCAACTGCTTGTTGAAAAACCTACTTGTGAGTGGCAGAATACTGCCTGAATAAAATAATTAGAGAAAACGAGTCCAGTATTTTAGCCCTGGTCATGCTGGGACATCCCCTTCCTGACTGCACAACAGAAATGCTTCAATTCTTTCCTCACCCAAAACAGCCAACCAAGGTTTGCATTTTCCTACAAACATAGGAGCAATTTGGAAAATGTCATGTGAGTCAGTGGTGAAAATAGGTTAGAAAGCAATTTCTTATACAAGTACTTGAAAACAGCATGAGCTGTAAACATAATAAACTAATTTGTCCTGTGAAGACTGGTCTGAAGGCACATTGAAAATGTGCAGAAAAGCTCACAGGCACTCCAGTTTTATTAAACTATTACAAACGCTTTTAATAAACATGTTAAGTCTATTTTTAGTTAGTACTTTTCAAAAATCAGATCAACTTAAAAGGAAGCGTTGCTGAATGAGAAGAAATGCTTTTCCTAAATTATGTCTTATCCTTTATTCAGGACTTTGACATCCTAATCCACTGCTTAATAATGACTTGAACTGCAACAGCACAGGACCGTACCGTGCTAATAGTCTGATCTTAAATTCCATTTATCTGTGCATCTCCCAAGGAAAGTAAGAGGCCTATCCACTCCAAATATGAAGGATCTGGTGGCAGATGAAGAATGATGACAAAATCTTCTCCTCCTCCCGCTCCAGCCTATCCGTGCCGCTGCGGTGGCACCGAGCGCTCGCTGTCCTTCAGCGCGGGCAGCCTCGCCAGCCGGCCCCGCTCCCCGCGGCGCAAGGGGACGGCGAAAGCTTGTTCGGGATGCAGAGGGCAGCGCAAGCAAGAGGACCCCTCTGTGCAGACAGCTGCAATTTCTGCTGTTTTAAAGATGACAGGCAAGACCCTCCAAAACCCCCCTGCCCCCCGAAGTCTGCTGGCTGATCAATCAGCTTTGGATAAGGGGAGTAATTGGGAATAAGGGAAGTTTTGGGTAAGGGAAGATAATTTTAATAAAAAAGTTTAATTTGTGATTTACCAATTTAGTACGTAAATACCTAATCTGAGAAGTCCCTTCACCCATGTGACAGTATTACATGGCGATTTCAATAATGCATTACGAGCGCTCACAAACATTTAAAAAATAAACCAAAAAATATTTAATTTATGAAATTCAATAATATGGGAATTCAAGCAGAAACCTTTCCCTAGAGCGATCACTCTTCTCGCAGAGACTCCAATCCCTGAAGCTTACAACTGCAGGTCCTAATTCTGGATGTATCTATACACAGGCTTAAACTGACATCTGCAAGCAACACCAACTAGTTCAAGAAATCCAATTACACCTTCAAAAGTAAATATACCTATATGTAACCGAGAGGTTTTTAGTCATGACTTCTGCTGTGGTTATATCCACAGCAGGGATGATGGTCATATCGCAAAGAGGTGAGATGTCACATGGATAATTTATAAAAAGTAAATTTAAATGACTTCTTATATAATTAAACCCAAAATGATACATAGGTGCTTATATACCCCGTTACTACAAAGGTTTCTGAGCAGGAGTGCCCAGGCAGTAGAAATGCATGTATTAGCTGAAGGAATAAACGACAGCTCCATTCCATTTCTAAACTACTGAGCAAAAGTAACAAAATAAAAGCAAAAACAAATTTCAAATGGACAAAGAGTAAAACATCTGTTACGTGAAGGAGGAAAGTAGTTTAAAGACTGAGCTAAGTGAGTCCTTTAGCCACCTCCCTTCAGGGAAGAGAAATCTGACCCCAGGAAATAAATAAAAGTCACCCAAAAAGTGAACAAAAGAGGTGTTTGAAAAAACCAGAGCACCATTCATCGCAGCTAACGACTTGTTCATTATGAGTGATGATGGATAAAGACTTCTCACGCTGAGATGAAATCAAGATTTATATGCATTGTTTCCTCTCCCAACTTGTGGGAAGATCATCATCATTTAATTCTATCTCTGCGGCCAGTGATGGGCATCCAGAGAGCTGGTTATCAAACGGCGCAGTCAGCTGGCAAAAGCCGAAACGTGCAGTTGGCACATCTGGACCGAGCCGCCACAGCCGAGGGTGAACAATGACTCCTGGCCAGCGGCCAAATTGCTGCAGACGCTGGCGGGTCTCATCTACAACCACCCCTACCAGCATCCCCCCCCCCTTTTTTTTTTACGAGAATCAGATTTTCATTGCTTCATTCAATTGCTCTCCTCTGCCATTTTTTACAGCTCTTATCGTTCCCTTGGAATATGGCCTTGAGACAGCTCATCCGTGTCCTTCACTGTGTTATCTCTTCTAACTTTTATTAAAACTTCAGCTCTCATCTGAAGATAGCTAATTAAATCCATGACAGATTATACACTCGTTTAAAAACTGCACTGAACTACTTTTTCTAAAGAGAACAGGGTTTATTTTCTTTTCCCAGAGTTAAAACTAAGGGTATATAAGGAGGTTTCATTCATTTACAAAGACAAGATCCTTATCGCTACCTAGTATATAGATAGGTTTATATTAAAGTTCCTTTGTTGCGTGACAAGACTCGGTGCAATTTCTCACAGTAATTATTTCTTGTTGCTGGAAGGATCTCTCAGCCTTATGCTTTTGAAATATATATACTAACATATATGTGAATGCACATTTACACCCTGGAAAAGCATTGCTCTAAAATATAAACGCAAGTACTGTAAATTGTCTTTTTTTAAAATGTTGATATGTCTTAGCTATAACAGTACTATTTTGACAACATTGCAGAAAGTAATTTTTTCTTTTTCTCTACACGTAACCATGAATCCTTTAAATTATCTAAAATAATACTAAGCATCATTTCCTTACCGAAATTAAAAGTATACAAATTCTATCAAGGACTGGTCTTACTGTACTTCCACCCCTCATCTCAAATTACCACTAGCTGGACTTGAATGCAAATGGCTTTGTTATCATAAATAAATATTTGCAGCAATGGATATACTGCTCTGCAGCAAACATTATGCAGCTCCTCCACTGTCTGCGTTTTGCCAGTATCTAGACCACAAACCTGTGCACAGAACTGCTTTGGAGTGGTGCTGATAATCACAATACCCACCGAAAAAACCTGAGCGTCTTTCACAACAATTAAAGAGAGATATAAAATATGCTCATGGAAAAACACCCTACCCTCTAGAAAATACGATAAATAACCCACCTGAGCCTCTCTGTGATCCCTTCCTTCTCTTTAAGGCCTTTTGTAAGATATCCTTCATGGTGACCTTCATACTGTCCACCTGAATAAGTGAGAATCCATGAGCAGCATTTCTGCAAGACAGATGCACATTCATTTTTACAAAATAATCATCAGCAGGCAGCTCACTGCAATTTTCATTAGTTTCAAGCAAAGGACTTGTTAGGCACAACAATTAACAAAGTTGTGCTGTAAAAGTAAGTTAAAAGGAGAAACGGAGCAAACTCCCTTAGAAAGGCAGAGACAAAAATGAAGAAAATGGGTTGAGATTCAAGGTGTGTAAGGAATTTCCTAATTTATCTTTATTTTTGATCAATTTGTGTTCATCATTACAACAGAAAAATGAGCAAACGCACCCACGGAGCTCCTCAACTACTCATTATTAACTATCTGCTAGGCGTTTCCCACCGCATACAAGCCAAACAGTTTGCAATGTCGTTGTCATACAGGTCCCGATGGCACACGTAACAAATCATCGAGGAGGAGTGGAAGAACAACACTCAAATAACAGCAGCTTTTCAGCACTATCAATGTATAGCGTTATTTCAAACGTACGGAACGTGCTCTCCTTGGACACGTTTCTGTGACCACCACGACCCGCAGTCTCACAGAGCGGTTTACGACAGCGGGGTGCCGGCCCTGGCCCTTGCCCGCCGGAGAGCCCACCCCTGGGGCAAACACCGCAACCAGCACCGGGATGGGTAGGGAAGATAACGCCGGCCAAATGGTGCGAGTGCATCACTGGGGAAGCAGAGAAGACGACAATATAACAGAAGAGACACTGGATTAATGTATCAGGGAATTTTGCCCCTTAGACCTTGCAGTCAATCTCCGCTCGTGTCAGTAGATGTCACTGCAGACAGTTAGCACGGAAATGTGAGAGCTGCTAGGCACCCACAGGGAGAGATTTGCGCTGCATGGAAAAAAACTGTTTTGCAAAGCTATTTAGACAGGAGGAGGAGCTTTGTATCTGGCAACTAGGAATTTTAATCAGGGAGTAGAGCTCTATATGAATATCACAGCTGGAATATTTTTAAAAGCAACTGGCAGTCAAAAGCAATCCAAGCAACACAAGCACATCATTAAAAACAAGACCGTATTACATGTCACTTTAAGACACAAACGCTGGGGATACGAGTTTGAGTTCAGATCGCTTCAGACGTGGCAGCCCCAGCCCACGCTGTGACACAGCCCGGATGAATAAACGACACCTTCCAGCCCCCCCGTACATTAGCACTCACTCCTGGCCACTGGCTGCAGCGCAGCCCCGGCGGCCAGCGAACGCCCTGCCTGGGCCCACGCTGGCCACCAGCTTACGGTGCTGCCGCTCACGCCCGCTCTCCTTGCAGCTGTCAGAACAGCTAGCACGCACTCTCCCCTTCCACCCCGCTCGCACCACAGAGCTGCCTTATTTACCCCGGCTAAGCTTTTCAACTCAACAGCCTCTGCCGGGAGTGGCTGGAGCAGGCTGAAGAGACAGCCAAGAAATCCCCAGCGAGTGGTCATTTGTGCCTTACAAACAATACAAATGCCTGCTACGCTGTAAGCCACGCATCAGATGGGCCCGTTTTCCGAGCATCCCCCGGCTCCCCGGGCAGCTCACCCCCGGGCTCCTCTCCCCACGGCAGACGGCCCCACGAGTCCCTGGTATAAAACAGCGGTTCCTTCTCATCAGTTGTGAGTTAGTCTCATCTGAATTTCATTCTCAATTCCCTTTGTTCCTGGCAAAATGAAACTGCCTAAAAGCCCCAAATTTATGTTCTCTAGACCATTTATTATTTATAACTCTATCTTACTCGTCTTCAAACCAAATATTCCCAACCTTTTCATGCATCTACTTTTTCCTTCTCTATTTCTGCCATGTGTTTAATACAGAACGAGCAGAACTGAGCCCAGTGCTCCACATGAGGGAGTACCATCCAAGTCTGCAGAGGTGAGACTGCCGTCCTCGGTACAGTCCAAGGACTCAGGGGTTTTCACTAATGCCATACAGCGAGCAGAGACCTTCCTAAACTCCTTACTGATGAGCAAATCTTCCCTGAAGCTGCTACTTGCACGGGCACCGCACAGCATCTTGGCTCTGCCCAGCACCTTCCTGGTTGTTCACCTCGCCTCCCAAAGCCACCACAGCTCTAGCCCGAACGGACCTGCTGAGCTAAAGGCAGCGGACGGTTTAATTACAAAAAGGAAACTACCTTTGCGCTTTTATTTAAATGGCACGGTGTTTGTCAATGAAGCGCTACAAGAAAAGCCTTGCAGACCGGACCCAACCATCAGAACACCGACTCAAAAGCCATCTGGCGCCTTCTGGTAATTTATATAATGCTCTGCAGTACGGAAAGGTTTCCAGAGAACTGCAACCAAAATACAGGAAACAAATTAAAATACTGCAGGGAAAAAAAACCAGCAAAGGTGAAGAAAGCCTTCCAAAACCTTCAATGGCCAAAACGACTGGAGTCACAATTTTTTTTTTTCCTTTAGTACAAAGTGTTTTTCCAATGTGTTTTCCCACAAACAAAGCAGGGCCTGCAGCCTACGCCGCGGATCAGCCCCGCTTCCCGCTGGGCACGAAGCAAACAACGGCCCCCGAGCCCGGCTGCCCCGGCTCAGGGCTGCCCACGCCAGCACCCACCCGGAACCTCCAAAAACGGAAGATTGTCTTTCGGTTCCTGACACTTCAGCTGCTAAAAAGCACATGCTGCTGTTGATCCCGCCCGCCTCTGAGGCCATCCCGACTCGGTCGATCCTTTCTATCGAGCAGCTGGCCTGAGAACTGTCAGACTAATTTTCCCGACACTCCATTACTAACTCATGCCTGAGCCCCAGCCATTCTTTGCCTCAGAAGCTGGACCTCATCCCAGAACAATCTTTAAAAGTTTATTTTACTGATCAAAGCAAAATAAGAAAAACCTCTGTGTTTTACTATATTTAGTGTGCTATCCAGTAAGCGAGACCTTGGCAAGAGCAGAGAAATGCAAAGCACACCCCGCATTTGTAAACTTTTGGATATTTGCTCTGGAACAGAGCCAGAGGGTCTGAAACGCCCGTCCCGGATCAGACGCACGGTTCTGCCCTTCCTTCGCTCCAGCTCACTGAGCGCGCAGCGCGGCTTTTCTCTAACAATACACCACAGAACCTCAATAACGACATTTTAGCACTCAGTAAACCCACAAATCTGAGCCCAGAGTGGATTTAAGCCCAGACCAAAGAGATTCTGCCGTCATCCTGGGGCCAGGCCAGCGGCTCGGAGCACATTCCCTGTGCCGCGGAGGAGAAGCCCCGCGCCGCCCCCAGCGCGCTGGAGCGCTCTCAAACAGGCAGGGAGCCTTGGAGCCACCCTCCGCACTGGATGGCCTCAAACATCATCAATCTACCGCAGCCCGCCTTCATGCGAACATAGCACCGCGAGGCTCTTCTGGAAGAAACGCACACCCCACCTCACCCTGCCAGCTTCCCAGTTATGCTCCGCATTGATAATGTGCACGAACTGTCCTCACTCAACCTAATTCCAGCCTATCCTTAATTACGATTATAAATTACGTTTTAGCTTACTCTGCTAACGTGCGATACCTTTATTTTAAGTCAACGCACTAGGAAACGGGACAGAGAAGCAGATGCTATTCAATCAATTAAAACTGCTGCTTACAAATTGGAAGCCAACGAAATTCCTTAGCTTGTATTTTCTGTCATTTTGCACAAACATACCTGGGTGACAAGGTTAAATCAAGCAAAGGAAATCCCTGGCACTTATCATCCACAGGCATTACTGATAAATTGTGCAGTGGAGGAATAAAGGATTACCTTCTGTATTTTTTCATTACACTTTTCTTTTGTTACAGAATACATAAATCCATTGTGGCACAATGTAATATGTATCATCGTGCTACACCTGTGGACGTTTCATAACGGCTGCCATGTCTGTGCAGTCAGGAATGATAAGTGAACCACCCGTGAATGTTAATGATAGTGATCATTCTGCGGTAACTTGGCTTTCCATCTTCTTTTACAGCCTCGGCGCTGGAGCCAGGGTGGCAAGGTTCAGAAGAGGAAAAAGAAAACAACAGAAGAGGCAAGAGCTTCGGCGGGCTGACGCCGCGGTGCTGCCGGGGGGGAAGGTGCTCAGCGTGGAGACAGGCAGCGTCCTCTCCATCGGCTCCGTTCGTGTGACAAAATAAAAACCCAACGCTTAAAGGACAAAAGGCTTCTGTTCTGAATGAGAAATAAACTTTTCCAAAAGCTGCCTTTTCAAACTCGACCAATTTTTTAAAATTTTTTTTTTTTTTTAAATACTGGAGTAGAATGTATAGCACTTAGAGCTTGATGCAAAAAATGGTTGGCATGGTTGAAAGTGGCTGTGAATGACTAATAACGATTTCCGCTTGATCAGCACAAAGTCAAAGTTAGAACTAAAAATCCCAGCTGACGCAATGTACTTTACTTAAGCTGGGTAATTTTTAAGATAAAGTGCACAGTGATATGAACCAGAATAACTATGCCAGCCACAATTTTTATTCTGAGCCTAAATGATCTCGCTTTTGTGCATCTCAGGTTAGCCTTGGATAACCCTACGCACTCTCGGTTTAATTGGCTATATCTTGCCTCTACCACAAGCTATCGGTAGACACCTAACAAGTCAGCCCCCTGCTCGGACTCTTTTCTTGGAGTCCTGCCCCTCCCTATGCACTATCCTGGGAGCCTACCTTCTTAACTTCCGTACCTACATTAACTTTCTTAAATTTGCATTTTATGAATATTCTAAAATATACTTTGTAGATTACCTACACCCATGTAAAAACTGACAGTAGGCCTTTTGGGAGTGCTTCTGTAATCTAAGTAAAAAACACATTTCAAAGCTTTGAACTGAATTTGTAAATGTACTATGAAAGCCTGATATTTTAAAAGTGTTTCAAACCTTATCTATCAGGTATAGCAGAGGTGCTGCTTTGAAAAATACATATATAAGAGTCAAAGCAATTTAAACATAATATCAAAACAGAAAAAAGTGCTATGGAGCAGAGGAACTGTATGCCAAATTTCATCTATGTGCCAACTGGCAGCTGAGCTGCAACTCCTC